TTTATATATATATATATATATATATAAACATGCATATAATAAAACATATCCATATAATAGAGCATATATTCCATGAAATTCAGGCATGCTTGATTCTATTATAATGATATCATGCGTATAAAAAATATCGCCGATACGTATGTAAACTTATTCCCGCGATGTAAAAATCAAACGGTGTGATTTAGGAACCAGAGTAAGTCCGCATATACCTTCCATATCGAGTTGCGTATCAAGTGGTACGGAAATAATAAATGAGTGAAGAAATCTTGCGGTAAAGAGAAATAATATCATCTTGGCCAGTTCGTCACCAACACACATACGTTTACCTTGATATTGAATAAATTAATAATATACATTCAGTAACGTGCAAAATTTATATATAATCTTGCATTTTTTTATGTAAACTTACCCATCTGATATGGCAAAAAAGCTTTCGGTTTGACGATGCTTCCATCTTCAGTAATAAATCTCTCAGGTTTGTATGAGAGCGGATCGTCCCAGTACATGGGATTCGTGTGAATAGCCCATTGTAACGGAATTATCATGGTGCCTTTCGGTATGTCGTAACCATTTAATTGTGTATCCTAAATGCACATCAATCTAAGGTCATCTTACTTTTTATTTCGTTGTTGACGTTAATTGATAATGAGAATATTAAATAGTTACCAAATCATATAATCAGACACAGTTAATTTTGTAGAACGAAAACACGAAGAATAATCGTTGTTATCGATTTTCGCTATTCGTTACGCGTATTTGTTACCTCTATTGCTCCGTGAGGGATGCCAACCGGTGTAATGCTCCGCAATCTTTGTGACTCCAAAATAGCCGCTTCCAATCGGATTAGAAGAGGTCTATCCTCCAAAATAGGTTGTTTTTGTCCCAATAGCTCGTTCATTTCATTCTGAATCTTTTTCTAAACAAATCCAAGGATGTATAGTATTTGAAAAAATTTTACGACAGATCATTGAACTTTTTTTTATCAAGAGAAATGTTAAAGGTTCCTATTCGGATTCATTGCAGCTGAATTAATGACGTCAGAAGCGAGGGAACATATGATAAAAATTCTTGCAAAATATATTAAAATGGAAGCAATTTTTGATAAAATAGTTTTGCAATCAATGGAGTAGATCTATAAAATATATTGGAAATTCCTTTTCATGATTATTTATTCATTAGACTGATCTACAAAAAAATGTTTTATCTGATTCTAGAATAGGCTAAATATCACAGTAGATGTTTTAATAATAAAAACAAGTCTGACCGCTGAATTTGTGTATCACGAATTTATTTATTCATCAGAATTCAAAAATAATAAGTTATAAAATTCAGGAAAAAAAGCACAAAATACAATCATATAATTAGTAATATATCTTTTTATATATAATAAAACGAACAATAAAATATTCATAATATATGCTCTTTTATACATATATAATTAAATAATTTTTTTCATACACTTTTTTATATACTTTTTTGCAAACTTTTTACCTTTTCTTTAAATCTTGACTTGCTACATAAATTTGATCAGATTTCATTTTAATAAGATCTATACAAAACAACTAATTCTAGAGATCAACAACTAATTCAAGATCAAAATTATTTTTTGTAAGTCTGTGTTATTAAAATAAAAGAGAAGTTTTCTATGCATACATACATATATATATATATATATATAATAATATAATAAATA